TAGAGTCGCAAAAACGAGTTATAATTGCACTACGGGGTAAGATACAGTTTGCAATTGCACTTTCGGGAACCCTACCTGGCCAGAAAGCTGGGTTGTATACATTGTTCCAACTGCAATTCGAAACTGTATCTTGGCCCATAGTGCAATTATAACTCATTTTTGTGACTCCTGCATGGTTCCCCCCCCCTTTTTTTTTCCCCTGTCAATGGCTGTCGTTTTAAAATTCGAACTGCATGCTGAACACCTGTTCGAAAGTATGTTGTTTTCCCAAAAAAAAAAGAGTATATTGTGATAAGTTGATAGTGTTATTCCATACGGTCGAGGTCATTGGAGTGGGATTGATCGATTTGCTGGGCTACAGGGTCACCATGCTACCTTCTGAAATGAGATTGAACAAACGTAGATAATATAATAATATAATAATATAATAATATAATAAACAAGTAATAATAAAATACCTATTCTCTGCCTCGGAAAGGCTTACATCAATGAAATAAATAAAAAGGAAGCTCAAGCTGCTCAAGATAAAACCTGCAGTGCAGAGTCGAGCAGAACAATGCCTAGCGATAGTATTGGTGGACAATCTATGGGCTGCTTTGAAACAATCGAAAAGACCGGTGACAGTCGGATAGTGTTCGTGCTCTCATGCTTGGAGTAGAAAGAAGTGTCCTGTACCGTGTCTTACACTGTCTAGAGATTCCATACGCATCAATTCAAGTGATGGTGAGTGTTCTCGTTTGTTATCACTCATTCGGTTGTAAAAAAAAAACAATCTGCTCATTTACGCACAGATAGAGTCTCGTCATCTAACAAATCAGACACAAAAACGATCTGTTTGTCCACACGTAGATACTCGTATCACTCATTCGATTGTCAAGAATAATCTGCTCATTCACCCATAAATACGCATAGATAGAGTCTCGTCATCCACACATATATACTCATAGATACTTATAGGTAGAGAGTGACTGCGCACACTTGCGCGAATATGCGTATGAGAACAATTTAGAACCAAAAATCCCTTCGTTAATGAAGAAGAAAGCTGAAGGCGCAGCGTAGCTGCTCCGTCAGCCTATACATACAGCTCGTAGATAGTCCATTCGTGGTGCGGTGCTCCGTGTAGCTCAAGGACTATGACGAGATTCTCAGCGTCCTACTCATCCCGTCCTGGCGTCGTGCCCGACTAGTTTCTGCTGGCGCCAGCCCAGCGTCGTCAGGGGCAAACGAAGAGTAAGTTTGCATCTCTCTGCTATGGTATAAATACTACGTCGGTGTCTACTTCCCGTTCGCTTCGTGGATCGTATTTCAAAAATCGACCGCGCTGTACGGTGGTGCTTTTCTCCGCTATAGAAAACAAAAATTTGAAAAAACAACCAGCGCGGTGGCGCTATTCCTCCTCGCGCCCGAAAATCATTCAGCATACCACGCTCGTTTTGTTCCCGCTCGTTTTGTTTCCGCTACAGAATTTTGAAAAACCAAAGAAATTCGAAAAACAATTCAAAAAACAAAGCGGTGGCACCTTTCCTCCTCACGCCCGACACTTGTCCTACCATCACCTCTACGGAATTTCTGAAAAAAAAACAGAAACTTTCGAAAAACAAAGTGGTGGCACCTTGCGCCCGACACTTGTCCAACCATCCCCGCTCGTATTGCTACCGGTTCCTACTACCGCTCAGTGACAAAGGTGCTGTTTTTGTTCCGCATTCCGTTACTCGTGATGTCCAGGTTCAAACATACGCGGGTACGGTCTGGGCAAACCAGTTCACAGTGTGCCACGTTTTCCCAATTCTCTTGTCGTCACATGCCGCTACTCGGTCCATCCACACAATGCCTGGACCCATTTGTCCCAGGCCCTGTTCTTGCGTTTCAAAAACTTGCTCAGTTGCGTGTCAAAGAATGTGGCTGGGAATCGTCTTATTCGTAGTTCAATCTTGAGTGCCAGCAGAGGTCGTCCCGCTTTCACCTTTTCGAGCGTGTGGTTCCAGATTCGATGCAAGCAGCCCGTTGTTACTGCCATCTTCGTTCTTTTTGCCGTATACGAGCCGAAGTCCTGTAGTCCTTGGAAAATGATAGGACCCCCTTGGAGAAGATTTGGTCCGTTTGCAGAGTTGCAGCACGTGTGCAGCATTAGGACATGCTGTGTTCAATGTGCATGGTACTGGGGGGTGCATTGATTGCATCCACACACAATGCGGAAAAAAAATAAAAAAAGTAATGAAAGAGGAGTGCACAAGGAACCAGCCTGTGTGGACACAAGACTTCTGAACAACACAAACTCGTTGAAGAGCATGCATGAGTTGACGACATGAAAAGCGGAATCGACAAGGCATCAAACCAATCAAGAGCACACGGACTCTCAACTCTCTTGATAATGGACGACCTCTTCTCACATCAACTCGATCAATACAACAACAGAATAGTATTCCACAATTGAGGTGTGTATGCCTACACCACGTCCTAGCTTTAGCCTATTATCCACCGCCAACTCTCTCTCTCTCTCTCTCTCTCTCTCTCTCTCTCTCTCTGTGCCTTACCTGAAGGGCCTGTTTGCGGGAAGACTGGACGTCTCTCTCTCTCTCTCTCTCTCTCTCTCTCTCTCTCTCTCTCTCTCTCTCTCT